TCTGCATCACGACCCCCACACAGCTGCTAGAAAAGCGCTGCCTCAAATTCTGCTCTGTTAGCATAGATTGGACCGGGCCCGTGTTCTGTTTTAGTAGGCGGGAGCGTCACAGTGTAAACACATCTGAGTGTAACACGTTAGAGGGAAAAGCTGTTTTCGACAGGCAGAGGCAGACGCGTTGCTCATAAATTCCACAGAATCAGTTTTCACATGCGCTCCACAGCTTCCCCTCCAAGCTGTGATTCAGAGGCAGACAAGCTGCTGCAGCAGCGCTGCACTCACAGGTTTCTGTCACATCAATTCTGTTAAAAACTGCTTCAATCCATAGGTCCACTCACAGAACCAACACAGAGTGAGCAGAACCAGTGTCCACGTGTCCTCTGCTGCTGCTGACCCACACCCCTCAGGAACAGCTGACTTCTGTTAGCTGCTGCTGCAGGACTCTGCTACTGACCGGAACTGACCGTTTGTCTAACACCCCGAGCTGAACAGGGCTCCTCAGGGGAGGTACTGTAGTATGCCCTTTTTCCACTAGTGTGGTGTCAGTATGGTCAGTGTCGGTACAGTCAGTGTCAGTACGGTCAGTGTTGGTATGATCAGTGTTGGTATGATCAGTGTCGGTACGGTCAGTGTCGGTACGGTCAGTGTCAGTACGGTGTTGGTACAGTCAGTGTTGGTGCAGTCAGTGTCAGAACGGGTCAGTGTCGATACGGTCAGTTTTGTAATGTCAGTGTTAGAACTGTCAGTGTTGGTACAGTCAGTGTTGGTACAGTCAGTGTCGGAACAGGTCACTGTTCGAACGGGTCAGTGTCGGTATGGTCAGTGTCAGAACGGTCAGTGTCGGAACAGTCAGTGTTGGTAAGGTCAGTGTTGGTACGGCCAGTGTCGGAACAGTCAGTGTTGGTAAGGTCAGTGTCGGTACGGTCAGTGTCGGTACGGTCAGTGTCGGAACGGTCAGTGTCGGAACAGTCAGTGTTGGTAAGGTCAGTGTTGGTACGGCCAGTGTCGGAACAGTCAGTGTTGGTAAGGTCAGTGT